AGGCACTGGTTTGCCAGTCTCTGTGCGACGGATCCGCAAGTGACCGACCAGGCCGATGTGTGAGGTGAATGTGCGGTCGCAACGTGGACATGTTGCGATCGATTCCACATCACTGGAGCTGGAAACGCTGGTGATGAGGGTAGCAGATGATGGAACTTCGGATGTCCTTTGATCGATGGGGGTGGTGTGAAGTGTTGTGGTGTTGGAGGGGCTGATCGCTACGGTCAACGCACGGGTTTCCGAGATTTCTTCGAAGTGTTCTTGTGAGGCCGTTTTTGTTTTCTTTGTAGACGAGTATCCGTGGAGACATCACCATAGAAGGGTTATTTTAGCATATGTGTATCCATTACGAAATGGCCGCTCCAACACAATTGCAGTTGCCTCGACACAGCGCGAATGCTGAAGATTTGGATCCGTAACAATGACTTACATGTCAGAGATCCTGTCTTGCCATCTCAGCTTTAGTGTTCAGCGAAGGCAGCTGGGATGGAAGTGGTTGAGTTTCCTGGCATAACTGGAGCAAACAGTCCTAGTCTCCTCTCCGTGCAGAAGTGTCGTGAGGATGACGTCCACACACGGAATTCTGCAGCCGGCCGAAAACTTGGTTACCTTCAGAGATCTGATGGGCTTCTTTTAAGTCGATTTTTATGCGCAGAAGTAACGTAGAAAGAGTGAAAGCTCAGAACCTCGGTTGAAGGCAGAGAAGCAGCAAGAAGTTCAAGACCTGATAAGACGTCGGTGGAACGGAATCGTAAGCATCAGGATTGAAAAGGCTGGTCCTGGGCGGACCAGTGCGCCCAGTTGCCTAGATGCGCGTCTCACCTACTCATCCTCCAAACATCCCTAATGAACACCGTACACCTATGAGGGGTGACTCGTTTTGACTACGAACATTACGTTTGAGTCGCACAAACTCTGGGGCAACTTCGTCCTGAGGACTCTGAGAAAGCATGTGCAGGATGATTTTACCCGTCTCGTCGACGGCTGAGCGTAAGTCATCAGGCGTTTACATGACTGTCAATGCTGGGCGCTTCTTCGTTCATCATCAGGTCCCGCAGTTTTGGTAATGGGAGACCCAAAAAGATGATCTGCGCGACCATAACAGTAGTCTCTGGCGCACATGTGAAGTTCACAGGACTCGGGGTCGGCATCTACATCGAGAAGGCTTAAAAAGCAGTAACAGACAGATCTCGTAAATTCTAATCATATGACAGGTACACAGAGAGGGGGCTGGAGGAGGAGTGAGAGAGAGGGAGGAATACGCTTTATTTTAAAAGTATCATTCCACATTTTTGGCCAAAAAGCACGCGACCCTGTGCATTCAGCAACCCTCCAGACGGCTTCCTGTCCAGTTCGGAGGTTCGCTTAAAAGGGCACTTAGGACTATGGCTTATTTATCAGAATGTGCCAGCTTTTATGAGTGTGTACATATGCCATTCGTGTGTATCTGTCAAAATTTAGAAACTACAAGCAAAGAAACGAAGATAGGTGCCAAAGAGAATAATTAAGAGGAAGTGACCAAAATTTCAATCTCGCTTAAGTCCTTTTTCTCATACCCAAGTTCGTAATCAGCACAAAATGCATCTTTGACTGATTTAACGTCACCATGCCCCTAGTTACTTAAATGCGTTCACTCACCAGTCGGTGACCCAGGTAGCGGTGCACAGGTGGGTTGTCTACCGGCTGGATCGAGATTTCAGCGGTCGATCTCTCCCCCTCCTCTGCCTTTCCTAATGCTAGACTCTGCCTGAAGACATTATGGAGTGAAAAGCAACTGCATAACAGCGGGTGGGAGAGAAGCCAGCCTAATTGGCTTTTCAAACAGGAAAACAAAACCCCCGTTCGTCTATAACGAAACACCTGTTAGTTAGCGGTCATGTTGTCGGCCCTATAACAACTTTTCGGACACTTGTCCGGGCGCATACAACTCGAACCTTGCGTTACATGGAAGCAGCTTACATACGAGGGGAGAAACCAGACCTGTGCAAACAGTTAGACCACCTGATCAATCTGCAATTGCTTTGGTAACCGTCACGCCTCAACTTACTCGTGACTGTGATTTGTCGTTAATATTCCGTCTTTCTCTTTCCTATATGATGCTTATGGGAACATCTTTCATCTGATGATTCATTGTCTTGAACCTTGACCTTTCTCTTATGCACCAACATTCTGTCCAAATGCGTACTGCTGTGCGCTTCCATTCGTTACTCATGCTATGCAGAGACGAGCTGCAGTCGATAAGCCGTCACGAAATTTATTGGCCCCGATAAATTGTGCTGTGCATGCCTGTTTTAAAGTCATACCCGGGCAAAAATGCTTCAAATAAAGAACGTCAACAGCTCAATCCTCGCGTACATGGTAGATACAGACCAGGCCACGCGAACCGGTCCTATGCGCACAGAAAAAAAATTCATACAGGACCCACAGTTGCCAAGGTTCGGAGCTAGCAAGCCAACCATCTGCATAGAATTCCCTTTAGCGGGTCCCACCTTCTCTTTGACTCTGACTGGAATTTTGGTGTTTCACTCTCCTCTCCCCTCCCCCCCCCCAAAAAAAACCCCGAGCAACAGCATACTTATCGACTTGCCAGTATTTGTTGATTTATCATTTTGCTAGCCATATAAATGAACAGACCAGGAGAGAATTTATCAGAAATTCGCGAAATTGCCTTTTGAAATGTCAGTAGGTAAAGTCAGGGAACGATAGAGGCAGTCTCGTAAACAATGACTTACGGTCTGAAACCAATCGATTCCTTGCGCACGGGCGTTTTTTTCATGATCGCTTGTGATGTAAGTTACAGATCCATACCTTTAAATTGCCCCGGATGATGGGTTTGGGCGAGAATCCGAAACGTCACGCCAATAAACTTCTTGTGCCAAATATCGTATCTTCTTCTGAGGTCCATAGCACTTCAGAAAGCGCCTTCACCCGCGATATTGCCCATGAAACCGGTGGTGTGCTAACACTCACTTACCAGCTAAAAGTCCGAGATGAGTCTGGTTTGTTAACCGGTAAACCGGTAAGTGTGCGGCGACGGAAGCCGAGACGAATATGTGGTAGGCAAAAGTCCTCACATACACCGACACAAGCGAAAATGCGGGTCTCAGGGAGCAGTCAAGATCATCGAAAGTCTTTTTCGCCAGAACGGGTATCCTGATCGAGTAACTGCTAAGAAAATGGACGAAAGACCATCAAAGCCGCCATCAGATTGCCATGTAGTGATGGGATTGGGCTCACTGCCTGACAGAGCTAGACGGCCTGTCCGCGTGTGCCACACAAAACCTTTTTATCGCTACATACACAGGGTTTTATAAAGCCAAATGCTTCTCACGCAAGTGAATTGTACATCAGATATAAATATAACAAGAGTGTCCACACTGATACTGCCGGTATGTGTGTGCTGTGGGACGAGAAGTGCGTTGGTTGTATTGTCATTGTACCAGATCCGCAGATATGCAACGAGGCCGTCCTGCGCGCGGAATGTCCGTGGACAATGTAGACACAGTCACATGGATTGGGGTTTAAGTAGTTAGCTCGTGACACCGGAGACTCTCCGGCATCTCTTTTTGCCTCAATGGCAACTATCCAGTTGGCTTCATAGATGGCTGAAACAGTGCAACTCATTGCTGCCCTCCTAATATTTGAAATCCCCTTTCACGTAGGATTTTATCCCGAATCCCCAAGCAAGTAAATATTGAGTGCTGAATGCTCAGTTCTTCAGTTAAGGTGGAGGGAGAAAAATCCTGGTAGCCCCTTCAACAAAGAATGCCAATCATATTAATTCCTTTTAAGATTTTCGTCCAAGTCTTTGCTAATGCCTAATCCAAAGGATTAGGCCGGGGTCAGATCAGCGCAGTTACTTCATTTCATTCTTACGAGGACCATGTCGCATATCCTTTCACCGCCTAGTCTGGACTGCGTCTGTCTGCGTGTTTTCGAACAGGCAAAGTCATAGTATTTATCTTATCGAAGACAAACTAGTTCCGTCAACTGAACTGCAGCGACACGGTCAGTTTTCCAAAGGCATAACACTGATACAATACGGACTTTGTGACAAAGTTTCGAAGCGATGTCGTTACGGTAAGGATTCGACAACCTAGAAAAATCGGTTAAAGTATAACAATTCAAAATAACAGCCTTTTAAGAGATAAATTCACCTTTTGCAATGACTGCTTGATTGGTCTGACCCGAAATAACGAGACCCTTATTTCAAAAATACCAGCAAAGAAACAGATTTTGCTTTTAAAAGCAAAGCAGATTACGCCTTAACTTAGTCATCCAAGTTCAGATGAGATCCAGAACATAAGAGAGTTGGGGATCCCCGAGTCTGCTGCTATGATAATACCAAAAGCAATACGACCTGCCTATCATGTAATAAAGTAGATTTACGGACACGTGAAATACCAATCACTGCAAATGCTGACCAAATTACACAACGCATTCTAGTGCGACACGAACCGAGATGGTTTTGGTGGTGAATTCGAACTTTAAGCTATTAATAATTCCTGACTAATACACGCATCAGGAACTCTAAATGAAACCTTTCCAAGGCGGTTTTTTAAAGTCACTCCAGTCTTCCGGGACTAAATCATCCGGAATACCCAATCTAAAATTAGTTGAATAGAAGATACTATGAGTGGGGTAATACATATATGTTGTTTTTTCCTTTAGTAGACCGCAAACTATAGACATACACCAAAGTAAGTCGAGACATTTCAGGAACTGTTACCATTGGCTTATATGGCATGAACCCAACTATCCAATGGTATTTAGCGACGTAAAGTATTCCATCACGTCATTGGCTAATTCCATTCGAAATTTGAACTCAGTGAAATACAGTTTTTGAAGTAGATCAGTGTGATTTATCGATCACGCACACATGGGCTTCATGGGAATTCTCCTTGTATTACTGGTAGGCTGTAAGTTGTCGGATTTTATCTGAGCATTTTGATCCAGATGCTGCTGGTTATAAGGAAGCAAGCAGACTTTATGACGTCCTTATGAACCAACAACCCTACAATAAAATTATACGACCAGTTCGAAACTTCAATGATACGCTGACTGTCTTCTTTGGTCTGGGACTCTTGCAACTCATGGATGTGGTGAGTTGCATTCAAAATGGAGTCAGCTGAAGGTGATAATGCGTTTGTCTCTTAAAATATCCGGACAGCCTGTAATAAAATAAACAATATCGATGGCGCTCGCGCGGCTCTGGGGCCACGCGACAACAAAATTATTGAACCGCTTTTATTTAACCACAGACGTAGTCCCGGTCCTAACTTTTATTAACGTTACTACTCAAACTTCTGTCAAGCAGCCAGGACGAAACCTAAAATTTCAGTTAATGAAACCGTTGAGTTCTTTGGTGCCGACCAGGATAATGTGATGTTAGGTGTACGTCACTGTGTTTGCAGCTTGAAATACCCCTTCAGTAGTCATAGTACAATGCAGCCAATACCAGCGTAGGACAAAATGAAGACCTTATTTCCGATTATAAGGGCAAAGTTTCCATTTGCACATTCTCTTCGCTCGGGAGCGAAAGGGTTGATGTGCTCGTCTGTAAATCCTGTAACGTTTCACCAAATTTGGCCTCTGAGGTGACTTAATGACTACAGTGCCTTTTATTTCGAACCTGTGATATACTCGTTCAAAAAAACTGGTACGAGATTTCCTGACGTTTAAAAGCAGCAGACGGACCGAAATATTTATCCGCCCTTCATGCGGCGTGAATTAGCAAAACAGTGACGGTGCACACTTTTGGGTTGAGTGACGTGTAGGTTTCGAGTTCACCAGAACCTAGAGGGCTGGTTCGATAACGTTCAAGTTTGAAAACCTGGATATAATGGTGGGTCAACATTTGTAGACAGTTTTGACATTCAGACATCCAAAGACGAGCTTCAAGCAGATGAACTCGTGGATCTTGTTGTAATCGAATCTGTTAATTGGTTGTCAGCATCTTACACAGCACCATAGGGATTTAGATAGAAACTGATGAAAGCTTGCCCTTCTTCCTATGGGCGTGTTGACGTGACCATGAAATTATGTCCTCAGTGAAACTTTCCTTTGAGGGGTTCTTTGCACATTTTGAATGTACTTGGACTTCTTTTCTGATATCTTTCAAAAGGACGAAGTTAACCAGGTTATTACTTCTAACGTCTTGGTATCACTGGAATGGACGGATATCAAACTGACCTGGCGACCCGAGGATTTTGGAGGCGTCACAAACTTGTTCATCCCATCGGAGCTTCTCTGGCTGCCTGATCTGCTATTGTACAACAAGTGAGCCTACGCGTCACTTCTTGTTGACCGATCGTTTTGTTTTATTTGAATATGACATTCAGTTAGTCCTT